GGAAGTGAATCATTTTGGTGGGGCGGAAGCTTCAGGCTGACCCGGTGGGGGGCGGGGCTCTGGGCGTTGGCGAACGTGACTGACGTCAAGACCGTGCGGAACGCCCAACGCGTCGTTCCGGCAGTGGAGTCTGGGCCCGGCCCTGGCAGCTGTTGGCCGGCATCGCTGCGTGAGCCGCGGGGTTGGCGTCCGTGCCCTCCGTCCTCCGCTCTCCGCCTCGTCCCGGCCCCCGCGGCTCGGCGTCGGCGCGTCATGGTGCCAACGGCGTGACCTGCGCGGCCCCGCTGAGCCTGGGAGCGAGCGCCGGCGAGCGCGGCTCGGGTCACCATGCCTACCCGTGAGTGGCCGGCCGGGGCCGGGGCCGGGGCCGGGGTCGGGCCGGGGCGGGGGCCGAAAGGCTGCGGCCCGCGGGGCGCGCCCTCCGCGGGGACCGGGCAGCGGGGCGGGGCTGGGAGAGCCAGGAAGTGCCCGCCACCTGCCCAGTTAGTTTCGCTTCGGCTTCGGCTTCCGGGGGGTGGCGCGAGTCCGTTGCACAGATGGGGAAACTGAGGCCGAGCGTTCAGGACGCAGGGCTACTAAGTGGCAGAGCGCGTGGTCACCGAGACCTCAGGACGTCCAAGGCTAATAAGCCCTTTCCCCAGTCCCCTCCCGAGCCAAGTGCAACTTGATGGGCCAATGGAGGTGACGGCGGCCCCATCGCAGGCGCCTTCCCACCTCCTTGGGGTCCAGGCGTCGCCTGGTGGGATGCATGGGCCCAGGGTCCTGCCCCGCGGCACCCCAGGTCCTCGCAACACGTCGGGGGGGTTGAAGTAGGTGTGCTTTGGGGGAGCCTGTTAGGGTCAGATGCCCCAAATCCTGGCTGCTGGTCCACCTGATGCGGTTCACCTGGCAGGTCATTACACAAACACGCCGTCGGGTGTAGGGCTCCTCACCTGACACTTTGAAGAATGAGATTCCCGAGTTCAGCCCCAGATGCACGTTTTGTCTAGTGGCGGGTAAAGAGGAGGTATTTCCTGACACTAGAAAGGTTTATGTGATTCTGTGGCAAACCTTCAATTACTGTAACTCCTCACAGGTGTGTGGGGTAAGGTGGCTTTTGTTTTCTTAACCTCACAGGTGTGTGGCCTTAACTCTTGTTCTTGGGTTTTGTATTTTTATTCCTCTGGGTTGGAGGATTACCGTCATCGTTGTTGTCACGTTGTTATTTCTGAGTTCGTGTTATTCCGTGAATATTTGAGGTGAGCGAAAGGAAGAGGGTGAACGCCTCTGCCCTGGGAAGTGAAGGCTTCCAGTGGGATTTACTGGTGAAATGGCACCGTAAGAATCCTGTGAAAGTAAACACGGTGCTAGTTATTATGTTCTAAGGCTATGCTGCTTCATAGAGTGGATATGGAAAACAGGCTTCTTTTAAAATGTGTGATTTGCAATGCAGGATGACGCAAGGATGAGCCCTGCTGTACTTCGCACAGTTAGAGTGCAGATTCCATGATCTGACTGGACGACAAGTAAAATGTTTGTTATTTATCATTGTTATTGTTAGTATTGATTATGGTACAGCTTCTGTAATTGTACAAGAGTGTGGTCCCAATTGCTGGTACCCCTGTGAAGTCAATAGTGTTCATCTTTCCTTTTTGTGGCCAGCACCTCCCAAATTTCTGGGATAGTGCAGTGGACAGTAGCACTGGTAAGGAATTCTGTGTGTAGGATAAATGTCAAGCATGTTAAGTGCATAAGCAGAGGTAGTAAAATTATTCCTTTCTTTAGGGATGCTTTTAGGAAGAAAACGCTCTCCAAATAAGCTAACTTTTGCCAAAAGGAGTTAAGAGCCTCTCTTACAAATCTAACCAGCTCATCCTTCAGGGTTTAGTGAAATAAAGGTGATGCTCTTATGTAAAGTGAAGGTGTTGGAGATGATTAGTAGGGTCTCCCAGGCTATAATTCTGAAAGTGACATTTGCTCCAAGTCAGAGAATTATTCTGCTCTTGCTCTTCGGTTACTTGTGTGGAATATCGATGCTCTCAGTGATGAGTAGAATCCAAGGAAGCATGGAATACCCTTGAAGGCTAAGCACTTGCATAGCTCGTGAATGTTAACAGGAGCGTGACTGCAGTTAGTTGGGGGAGCTATAGACCAGCAGTCGCCAACTGGTGGTCCGTGAGGTCTGAAAGGTTGGCGACCGCTGCTATAGATTCTTCTTCAGAAAACTCCCTGCAAGGATGTCTGACAGACTGCTGTGACACAAGAACAGTTAACAGTCACTAAGCACAGATTTCAAGACTGTTCCACTAAGCCATCTTCTCAGACCTTAATTTGACACATCATTTCTCCAAAACCTTTTATTTCATCCTCCCCGCTTCAAAGGATCATTAGGAAACATTTTAATCTTAAAGATTTTCCAAGCTTGAATCAGAATTTGAGTGGGAGAAATGTTAAAGCTTATTAACTCATTCATTTTATTTTATTTTGCTTATCAGGAGACTGAGCCTCAATAAGTTTTAGTAACTTGACTGAGGTCACATGTCTGGGCCCCATAACCCCTAACCACGAGGAGCACAGATTACTGGCGTGCGTGGAGCCTCCTGCGTTTGTTCATCTCCTCTCCCTCTCTCCCACCCTCCCGCCCACTATCTGTGTGTGCTGCCAGAGTGACAGCTGAAGAATTTTCTTTCTCACAGTGACCTTTGGCTTAACACTGCTTTGGTTACTATCAGATCTCATCTCTTAATGTGTCCCCACTTATGGGGACCGAGGGCTGCATTTCTGATGATGTGGATGGTGGGAGATATGTCTGGAGATGGAGATGGGAGCCAGGATTGGAAGGAATTTATATGCCATGCAATGAACTTGACTAATGTTGGGTTTATGTTGTCACAGTCACAGTTAAAGGGGCTACCTATTTTATAAGCATACTAGCAGTTTCCAGCTTATAAAACTTAAAATTTGCTGTTGAATTAATGACTTACTACTGATTGTGTGCCGGGCAGTGTATGTTGTGCTTTGCATGAATTATCTACCTCCCACTTTGAGAGAGGCCCTATTTGACCTCCTAGAGAAATGGAGAGATTGAAGTTCAGGGAAGGGAAGTGACATGTCTGAAGACAGTGATAGAGCTGGGATTGGAACTAGATGGGTCTGACTTCAAAGTCCCACCCCCCACCCCCCCCTCACTGCTCTGAGCCAGGCAGGAACTGAATCTACAGTCATCAGATACTGTCCGTTTCTTTTAACACTGTCCCTTTTGCTAAGCACTGTGCCTAATTGCATAATTGGTGCTTGATAAATATTGAATGAATGATTGATTGAATCTTAACTGGAGTCAGAGAAGTTACTCTTTGGATACCATAACCTGAAATAACTCTCTCCTCCCACTCACCCCCTGTAAAAACAGTGTTATAACATTTTTATAATTATGGTTAGGTTCTTCGCAGGTATGCCTGTTCATATTTGCAAGGCTTGAGACAGGCATGCAAATGGAGGCTGCAGATCACAGTATAAGTCGGGTTTTCTCAGTCTTTGCACTGTGGAAGTCTTGGACTGAGTACTTTTGTTTGGGAGGTGAGGGCCTGTCCTTTGTATTGCGGGGCCTGTCCTGTGCAGTGCAGGCTGTTTAACAGCATCTCTGGCCTCTACCCACTAAGGCTGGTAGTAATCCTCCCTGTCCCCCAAAGTCGTGACAACAGAACTATCTCCAGACATTGCCGATGTTCCCTGGGGTACAGAATTGTCCCTGGGTTGAGAACCACTGGTCTGAATATTTAAATGTTATGGATGCTGTGCCCACAGCCCGAGTCCCTGCAGCCTGCTCCCCAGAGATCACCTTCTCCACCTGGAGGCCCAAGGAGCCTGCAAGCCTAATTCAGTCAGCAGTGAACTGTTGGGTCAGAGCAGAGTCTTGCCTGACCCTGGCCTGGCATTGACCCTGTCACAGTCCTCAGGGAGCCAGAGTGGACAGGTTCCCCTCACCCCAAACCTCACTCTTCCATCTCAGGAGTTCCAGACAGTCCTAGGCACCGCCCAGAACTCTGTCACCCGAGTAGAAGAGCAGGCATGAGGAGGATGCCCTGCCCCTTGGGGAACTCTCTCTACCTAGACTCCCACGTGGGTAATTTCGAGTGGACAACTTTAATAAAAAACAGTTATCTTTCTTTGGTGATCTAGGCTCTGATTTCCACTGTCCCCTCTCTGTCCCCTCCCCAGCCCATACAGCCCTCTAAAAGGGAAGAAAGTCTGTAGTGTTTTGGGAGGCCGAGGTCCTTTTATCCTGAGTCAAATGAAGGTACTAGTTCTTAGGAGAAAACCATGTTTTACCCATTACCTAGGTCACCTTTGGTATGGAATGGTCAGGTTATCATGTATAGTGTGTTCGTAGTCATGGGATGGATTGCAGTGGACAAATCTGATTCCATATAGTCTATCACAGTCTCCCTTTTGATTACTTATTACTGTTCTCTACCGCTAAGTATTATTAGACAGCAGGATTTCAGTTTTTATTTAAAAAGGACTAGCACTACTCAGGTATTGTTTAAAATATTTTTTATTGATTTCAGAGAGGAGGAGAGAAGGAGAGAGAGATGGAAACATCAATGATGTGAGAATCATTATCAGCTGCCTCCTGCATGCCCCCTACTGGGAATCGAGCCCACAACCCCGGGCATGTGCCCTGACCAGGAATTGAACTGTGACCTTCTGGTTCATAGGTGGAAGCTCAGTGATTGAGCCACACCACCCAGGCTCCTCGGGGATTTTTATTGTACCTCTGAATGGTACAAATGGTACAGTGTTTCTGTGTGAACACCGGTTCCATTACAGACTCCATTTTTACATGTCAGCTACCCTCTCCTCTGGAAGAGCCCCTGTGTAGAAAGTGAGCACCCCTTTATCCAAGGGGATAGATAGTACAAAGGTTTTGTTGATATCATTGAAGGAAACCAGTCGCTGACATTCTCAGAAATGGAGAGGAGGGCACAGAATGTCGCAATGTGGCCCGCACCACTTTAAGCAGGAAGAGCAGTAGATAAGACATGAGCTGTTTGTCTAGGCTAGGGGTTCCTAAATATTTTAGCAGAATGAACCCTGTTGACAATCTCATGCAAGCCATGATTATTCTTCCCCAGAAAAATCCAGATTTCACTTGAAGTTTTGCATAGTTTCAAGAGATTCGAAGGCACACTGAGGTGCATCCCTGGAAAAATGGAGAGGACCCGAGTGCCATGACAGTTGTTCTTTGCGCACAGCGTTGAGACTCCGGTTGTGGAAGAATATCATCCTTTGCCAAAGATATGACGCCATTCTAAATATGTCTTTCTGCTGCTTTAAACATTCCCCCTAATTTTGTAC